TATATTCCTCTCTTTTCATAAAGGATGATCCCCGTTTATACTAAAAGTGGCGATAAAGCAACTATTTCCTTGGTAGTATTTGGACAATTAGAACTGCTCTAAGGCGCCACACAGATACTTCTGGGCCACTGCTCTCACGTAGGAACCTTCCTGAATAAAACTGGAATGCACCCTAATCTGGGACTCAGGTCCGTTATTTTGAGACATCAAGACACACTTTCCTCACGAGTTTACAGGCTAAATTGCTAGTTTCTGCTCATACCGAATACAACCTAAGACCAATAAGACTTTTATTTTTGTTAAGCGCTTCCTGCCCAGGAAACGCTGATCGCCGTGTGTAGCTTGAGTGCAGAGGAGGTGCGCAGACTGCCGGTGACTGCGGGGCGGACGGAGAAAGACTGCAGGAGTTTATCTTGGTTCCGCTGGTGTTGTGTTGGTGGTTTGACTGCAAAGATGTTCCCTGCAGTGCTCACAGTGTTACTGACTTTCTTCAGCCTCGCTGAAAGCAAACAGAAAGACTTTTATACTTTTAAAGTTGTGAATAGCAGGGGTAAGCTGGTATCTCTGGAGAAATATCGGGGTTCGGTAAGTACGACTCACAACAGCTTAAACTACAGATGTTAGAACGCATGCCAGCCCCTTGCTTGAATGAATGTTGCATGGGAATGTTGGCGTCTTTCTTTCTTTTACTTCTCTCCATGAAATGTTGTTTGTAGATGTAACTAACACAGCAGTGATGAGAATCAGTTTGACTGTGGGCTGCTGGTGGGGATGTCCCGTCACGTAGCCCGGATAGCCTACGTGGCAGGCCTGCAGCCCCTGAAGTTGCAGAAAGTGCTGAGATTTCATTCAAACAAGTTACGGATCACCAGACCGCGTTAGCCCTAATCTGTCTGAAGACTTCACTCTATCTTCACTCTATCCGTCATCAAAGGTAACGGAACATACATGAGTTTGGTTTTTACCCCAGTTATTGTAATAAAGTTGAAAAATAAATAAAAGTAATAATGCAACAATGATGTATATTACATATGACAGCCTTTATATAAAATGATAATAATAAGACAAACTGCATCTTTTTTGACTTAGCTGTTTTTGACTTTATTTGCTTCCAAATTTCTTAATCACAGAGCTTTAAATGATTATTATAGACGGTATCTTTTAAAAAGATATCCTTTATGTAACAAGGTGAAAGACTCTCTGGATTTTGTTTTAACCATAAACACAAACAGACAAATTAAACTATAAATCTTTCGCACACTACAAGTGAATGAACACAGTTTGTACACCACAGAGCTGTAGCGGTGCACTTTTAAAGGAAGAGTTAGTGTAACTAGTACAGTGCCTAAATGGGTTGAGTGTACGTAAAGTTCCAATTTACATTTCATGTCAGCAAGGAATAATTAAATGTAAAAGCAAGACTGAAAACTGGTGTTCCATTACACATGAGAACTTTGCTGGACCTGCTGTGCTGCCTTGTAGATTGGACAAACAACCATTAAGATAAGACACTTGCTCACACACTGACATTCAAAGATGTTCAGTAATACATACTGGATACCAAAGACAAGCAAAGCTTCCTAGTCTAAAAAGTGAAGCCGGTGGGAAATGCTTTTAAACCTGCATTCTTTTTCAGTGAGTCCAAAAAATGGATGGTCTTTGAACCAGTTGAAGACAACAGTAGCACAGCATGATAGTTATTCACTGCATCTCACTTCAAAATGTTATATTCAGTTTCAGTTCAGTTGTATTCATAGTCTTAAATCACAACAAAAGCCACCTCAAGGCGCTTTATATTACAAGGCAAAGACCATCCAATATTAGAAAAATAACCCTAACAATTAGGGTAAGCACTTCTACATAACATCTGCAGCAGTATAATGTCAAAGATTTGTTTGAACCATTTTCCCTTGATGTCCTTATGCACATCCCATAGTTGAAAACAGTCGAACAGAGTCACTCTCATTTAATGGATTATTGTGTTTTCCGTCTCCCCTCCTCCATCCCACCTCACCTCACTCTTTTCACACCCTCTTCTCATTCTATATGCATGTGTGTCACACATTATTATTAAGTTATAAAAATAAGATATCGGCACTTTGTGACTTTGTGACTAATAAATCAACACCAGCTGCTTCTTCAGTGAGATCCACATTCTGTGGATGAACTCCCATTCCACTGTCGCAGATTCCAGCATGCTGATTATAGTCCTTGATCATACTGTTGTGTAACTGTGGTTTCTTGTATTTTGTTTGAGTTTTTTGTTTGTTTTATTTTAACCAGAGTTGTGCTTTGTGTGATTTTGGGGTGTATTTCTATTTGCTGGTGTTTTCTTGACCTCTCAGGGCCACTGTATGAAAGGCATCAAGGACTGCCAAAACAGCAGCCCTATCAGTGACAGCATACCAGTAAAGAAAACACAAGGCAATGGGTTGGCTTGTCCACTAGTAAACTGAGTGCAGAAAAGGCTTTATTAGACGGCTAGATTATAGAAGTAGAAGGTACAGGACAGACTGGGGCTGCTGTTGATATACACCTAGGTATCCTAGGAAAAAATGCTTTGTGTGTGTGAAACTTTAATGCCAGCAAATTCTTTCTCACAAAGGCAAGTGTGGCTTTGTGTGTGCTAAATGATCATCCACGAGAAATCACAGGTGGCAGACAGTAACTTTAATTCAAAAAATGGGAGTCATCCAATGACCCCATACACTACCTTCTCAGCATTACATCGACTAAGTTTGAAGTTAATCATATTAACTGTCTTTGAGATATGCTACCAGACACATACAGAGCTTAATTTATTAGAGATGTGGATATTTTCAGTATCCCATGTCATATATGTCACACTTGCAATTGTATTTTCTTGACACCAGATGTCACTAGATGATAAGATTACACACTGGTTTCTCAGGAAGCCATACTTCTGCAGTGATGATCTTCTCTAGTTTAAGTTAAAGTATGAAGCTGTGACATGTATTAATGTGTATTAGGATACTTATTAGTTTCTGTATCTGTGAATGGCGCCTGTAACGTGTAATGGCCTAAATCACAGTTATCTGTGGTCCAAATAATTAGTCAATCAGTGGGACGGCCACACTTCACTTTTGCTCTTTTTGAAGAAGGAGCCTGTCTGTCTGTCTGTACACAGTGGGGCAATATACACACTTAAAAAGATGACAGAGGCCTGTAATTTTCATCATAGATATACGTCAACTATGACAGACAAAATGAGAAAAAAAATCCAGAAAATCACATTGTCTGATTTTTAAAGAATTTCTT